GGAGGAGGCAGCTGAGTACACAGCCGTCCTTCCCTGGGAGAATGACGCTTGATGCCTGCTGTTTACCAGCTGTGGGACCTGTAGCAAGCTACTTCACTTCTGTATGCCCTGCTGTCATCATCTGTAGTGAGAGTAATAGTGGTGCCCTTCCTTGGGATGTTGCGAGGATTAAATGCATGAATGTATTAAATACTTAGAACAAGATAAGACACATAGAAAGTGCTGTGGTGATGTTGTTATTGTGGTGGTTCCTAATGGGGGAGAGTACCCTAACTCCCCAAATCACAAAGCCCTGCCAGAGGAGGTTACTGGGCCTGGTATTGATGAAATATGAGGTGGTCAAATGCCTGGGGGGATGAGGGAATGGGTGAGGGACAGGAGAGGAGAGAAGAGGGCAGTGGGGGGGCGAGGGTGGCAAAGGGTGCAGCAGGCAGAGGCTCTAAGCTGTGGAACTGCACAGAAAGCGTGAGAGAAGAAATGAGTTTAATTCAGTCGTGCACATGATTTGGAAGATGAGCAGAGAGTTAAGTATAGATCATAAGGGTTAAATCATAAAAGGTCTAAGATATCATGCAAAGGAATTTGGATTTTTTTCAAGTCTATTTAAAGAAAAATCTTTTCTAGAAATTTGTGAAGTACTTACTAAGACATATTGGTGAAGTTTAACTGAACAGGAAATTGAGAAAAGTGTGCCCAATGGCCAATTTCTGATCATAAGAATGGTGAATAGAGTGGGGTACCCCATAGGCACCTGGGTCTGGCTCTAGATCCTTGGGGTTGTGTTGACAGTGACTGATTTCCTATAGCTCCTTTTTTCAGACCCTGGAGGGGCTCCCCTCTACACTGATGATAGCCTACCTCCCTAATGGCATTCAAGGCTGTGGTCCTCCCCAGTCCTTCTTTGTCCTTACTGTCAGAGCCCTGAAATTTTGTTCTGCTGTCCATCATTCTTTTTTTTCATTGTTGGGGGGGATGGGGGGCAACTTGCCAGTACAGGGATCTGAACCCGTAACCTTGGTGTTATAGGGCTTCACCCTAACCAACAGAGCTAACTGGCCGGTCTCCACCATTCTTTGGCCAACCAGGAACTCAAGGGGTACACCCTGATTAGCTTATACTATCTGCATAATTCTATCCTTTTTCCTATTGACTGGCTGAGGCATAGATGGGCACTTGCAACAATTCTGACCAGAGACATAAGGGAACCCAGGAGGCTTCTGGGAAAGCTTTTCTCTGTCTGAAAAAGAAATATACGAGATGACATGGCCACTTCTTTCCCAGTACATTGTGTTGGTGTGGTGTGTGACACCTGGAATTGTGTGTCCTCTAGAGCACCTAACACATCTTACATAATATAATTAGACGTTTTTGTTCTGTTGAAAACTGAAGATTTATAACAACTTCCTATGATGTAAGTAGGGTGGCTTTTAGGTTGTCCTTTTGGTAGATTAGGACGCTGGGAGAGATGAGTTGGCATACATTAAGCTTAAAGAAAAGCAGGAATAAACCTAAGTCTCATGAATGCTGGTGCTTCTACAATAGCAGGACATGTCTCTCTAATCTTACCAAATACAGACCAAAAAATATTGGGCAGAGTTTCATAAAGGTTTGCACTTGTGCCCAGACAACAAAGCAAGATATGAAGGTGAACTAAATTGTTAGATTAAAACGCCTTTTTGCATTTTTGCGTCATCTCATGCTTTGAGGAGCTGCGTCAGTTTAGCCCAGTGTGCCATACAAATGTTGCTATTTACACTTGCTAAGACATGAAATAAGTGTGGGAAGAGCACACTTGTCTTGCCACCTACCTCCTACCTCTGTCTTTCACAAACGCTCCATTTCAGCCAACTGGTCTATTCACTGTTCCCCAAATACCTTTCACTTGAGGACCTGCTCCTGTGATTCTTCTTTCATTGATTCCTAGGACTTCACCTGCATGTTTAAAATAAAATTTTAAAAATCCCACCCAAAGAGACCTCCAGTAAACTGTTGGATTCCATAATATAAGTTCTATAATATGGTTAAACCACTTGGGCTGTATATACTATCACCTTGCACGTGTTGTTTTCATCTACGTGTTTTGTCTCTCCAGCTGGGCCATAAATACTCTCTGAAGATCATCACAAAGAGCCTTCCTAACTAATTCTTAATCTGTTTGTTGATTATTGACACTTCCTACTGTGTTCTTATTTTCTAATCTGTTTTATACTGTCATTCCTGTGATTGTTGGATGTGATATAGAAGGTCAGACACTTTGTGTTTTTCTTTAACCAAAATATATTGTATGTCTGCTATATGTAAAATACAGTATTAGATGCATGGAGATTCACAGAGGGGAAAATAAGACATATTGATGAAGCAGGACAATAATGAGGCCCAGTCATGGCCTGTCCCAATGTCTGCATCCAGCCCAGCAATCACCAAGCCACCACTAGAAACCCCTGGGCTCCCCTGCTGGAATGAGAGAGGTGCCACAGGCCTCAATTACACGCCCCCTCCCTCCTCATCCTCCCACCCTAGTCTCCTCCCCCTTCTCTTCTCCCCCTCCCCCCAACTGCTCCGCAACAACATCTTAGAATGTAAAAAATAATAATAGTAAATAAATTTTAAAAATAAAATAATTATAAAGTACATGTAAATAATATACACATAAAATAATGCAGCAGTTTTAAGATTTGATTAAACATAAATATAATTATAGTTATTATCCTTCTAAATACATATTTTATTCCAATATTATAGTATTTCTTTCAGAAAACAAATCTAAATGTCACAAATAAGAACTGTTCCTTCTGCTTATAGAAACACTACCTTGGAGCTTATAATAAATTGAGTTGAATCAAAAAGATCAAAAGAAAGAAAAAGAAAAACATACCTAAGGTTACTCAGCTCCTAAGTGGTGAATCTAGGAATAGAACTCAGAACTCTCTGATTCTAAACTGTTGTTTCGTACCATATTACCTGCATTATATAAATACATAATGACTTAATTCTGATATATGTAAATGGATATTTCTGATTGGGCAATTGGTGTAGGGTTGCAATGATATACTTTAAAACATCTTAAGTATTGAACTTGTGAGAATTGTCTATCGACTTAGAATGAGATAAATTCATTACTTCTTAAATTAAAAGACATTGGAGTGAATCAAATAAATGTTAGGTACCTACAAAAAATATATAATAATAATAATAAGGCCTAGGGGTCTTCTAACCTAAAAATGCTAGGGATAGAATATTCTTACTATTAAGGAATGACTCTGCATGAAGGAAGTGTCCACATAGAGGAAGCAGACATTTGCCATTACTTCTCTCTGGGAACATTTACTACACATATTCAAATTTTAGTGGCTATATTAGGATTTGGAGAAGAACAGGGTACTTTTAGTCTCACACCACCAACAAAGCCTGAAATATTTGCAAGTTTAGTCATAGAACAGACACCTTTGCATATTTAACTTAGCTGAATACTTCCTTCAGAGGCAAGGGTGCCCAAGAGGCTGAGTTTATCATTTCTGGAATAATGTGAGTGTGTATGTGTGTGTGTTGGCAGATTGGGACTTGGCTCCCTGGATACGACTGCATTGGGACAGGGAAGGAATGTGTTGAATGGCCTGGGGAAGGGAGCTGGCCAAGCTCATGGTCCCTCTGAGGTCAGCCCTCCTGCCTGCAAGTCCCCTCCTACCCCACCTACCCCCATGAATCCTCCCACAAACTCTGGGTAAAACACAGCTTGGCAAGCTCCTGCATTGTGGCTTGGTGGTTACAGTGTGGTCTTCCCTCAGGACCAACCAAGAAGACCAGCCTTGAAGCTTCTAAAGCTGCCAGCCACCTAAAGGAGTAATCCTATATGGGAGAATACTTTAGGAAACTGATTAGCCCCCTCTAAATATTTAGAGGCAGCCTTTGAGTGGAATGATTTGCCTGCTGATGTCAACTATTAGAGTACTATTAAAAAGTTAAGACCCAAGGGGCCTATGTGAAAGGAGATAGATCAAATGATCATTTGTCTTGATGTCAGAGTAATTCAAAGGAACTCTTAATTATATACCTCCAAGAGACCTCCAACTCCCTCCTACCTGTTGTCCCTGGAGCTCATTTGTAGTCCATGAGCGCCCAGGTTGGAGGTTGAACTTTGTTGTAGCGAACCCTGGGATGGAAGGTAGGAGGAACTGGTTCAGGATCTGAGTGTGCTTGGGCATTCTGGAAGGAACTGAGACCACCTGGAATATATAGAGCTGCTCTAAAAATGATTTAGGATGGCTTTTCTAGGTGTTCTCTACTCCCATGGGAATCAGGTGCCATCTCCCAGTGACTCTCTGCCTGATGCTGTGACAGTGCTCAGCTCCCCAATTTCCCCATTATACCAAGCAATTTCTTTCTATTTTGTCTGCAGTCAATTAATCATTGCTCAGTAAGCCTCTATCCTCAACACTCACACCAATACACGCAAATACTCTGTAGTACTTTCAGTTTGAGCCAGTGATATTTTGGGACCCTGGATGCTCTGAAAAAAATAGAGAAATCTCTCACCAAGCTAAGGATGTGAGCTTCCAGACCTTACCTTTGGAAATGTTCAGCTTGGTAACTCAGCCCTCTAGATCACCAGGTTTCTCTTTCCCCATCCCTCAGTTACAGTGTATGAACAAAGGCTCATTTGAATTCCCATGAGCGGAATGGGTTTAATTTGTCTCTTAAAAGACTACATAATAGAATGTCTAATATTGTGGCTGTTAGGCCTTTTCTTCTACTCCAAACTAGCTACAAAAATATTTCATTTGTTTATGTCTAATGATGAGTATTTTTAGTTTGGATCTATGTAATTTTAACTTGCCTCAGTCTCTCACAGTTTTTGAAAATTTAGTTCAAAGAGTAAAAAAAGAATATGATAAACACTCTCGTGCTCTGGCTCTCTGTGCTATAACAGGAAGTGCATTTCTGACACTTTTAAAATGAGCAATCACACGTATAATCGACTTGGTTAAAACTTCCTTCCTGGTAACTGCAACACTTCCTCTGCATCTGGATATGAAGGGAGCCCCAGAAAAGAGGAAGAGTGTAGAGGCATACTGGGTAGATTTGAATTTGTTTTGTTTTTGAAAATTAAACAAATGATCCTTCGGCATCATCGCCTCCGCTGCTTTACCAGGTATTGCTTCCTTCTATTTTTTGCTCTTTGTTGGGTCTGACTCAGAAGTGTGACACTTCCTTCTCAGCTAGAATATTTTTATCTGGAACTGTTGTCGGTTCTTGAGATGGCACTATCATTGAATGTCTTGGAGTTTCATTGTCTGCTTCAACTGATATTGTAGATATCCACAAGGTTCCGGCAGTAATTTTGCAGGTGCATCAGTTCTTTTTTGTTTTTGTTTGGAAGGAAGAGGGACAGCACGGGAGCCTGTGCCAGCCAGGCTTCACATTCTTACACGTGCACGCTTAGAGATTACTGTACTTACTGTGTTTCTAACGTCTTCTTGTAAAAGGTGAAATCTTCATAGCCTCAACCATGAAGGAAACCAGTGAGTATTTAGTCAGCCTGTTTTCTTCTGCATCTTATAAGATTGTTTGCTTTCACTGAGGCAGAAGTTATTGCTGTGTATTGTATGTTGCTTAAATTTGTACTTTTTATTTTCAAATTAGTATCAATATTAATATACTTTATCATTCTCTCCTTTGTTAGTTACTATGTAATGTAGCAAAAGACCAAAGTGAATGTTTTAAGCTGTAAGAGACAGTTCTTTGGGACAGTTGGTTTCATTTACTAAGTATAACTTCATAATATTTCAAGAGAGGGGATATTGACTTTAAAAGTAAGTTAAGCCAAGATTTGAACAGTTTGGATCTAATGAAATTTGTTTTTATTATCTTTTAATCAAACTCTCCTTCTTGGTGTATACTGAATGCTCCACTGTTACTTAGGAAGGTAAGTAGTTGTGTCTCACATTAGTTACTTTAGAGTAGATGATATTTTGAGAAGCAAACTTTTGTTTCTATAGTTGATTCTTACCTAGAATATAATGTATTACAATGTAGTGATACTAAATATTAAAATCAAAATGCCTTATTCATCTTTCAATTTTAATACTTTCAGCATTTCAGTCATTATTTGAAGGGTTTCCTACTGCAATATGTCACATGTATACATAAATGCTTTGTGGAGGACAGGTATACTTATTAAATATTTGTGGAAAGAGTGAATAAGTTAATAAAAATAAGTTTGTGAATTCTCATTATAGAGATGAAAATATTAGAGCAAAAAAGAAGTTGAATAATTGATTGGGGTCTAAACAGCAGGTCCCTGGAGTCCAGAAATCCCGCCTTCCATCCTGTGGCTCCCCGACTATCTAAAGCAGAGGCAGAACAAATGCACTGGTACAATGTTCCTATTAGGAAAGCACAGCCTTGGGTGACTCCTCTAAGACATAGCCCTAATACAGCAATGACAGCTAGAATGTTTACACATTTCATGATTCAGAATTTTATATATCTGCTAATGGTCTTGATTGCAACTTTACCAATCCTGATACTTTTGAGTTTTATGAATGAAATGACTAGCTCTCCTAATTAGAAAGGGGAAAAAAAAAAAATGAAACGAAGAAAGAAAGGCAGGAAGTTGACTGGGGAGTAGATCCTGGGTCCAGACAGTTTGAAAATAGAGAACACGAAGCCAGGTTGGGTAAGGCGTCTAGGTTCCAAGAAGTGTGAGACTGAACAAAAAGGAAGTAAGTTAAAGGCCTGTTTTCCACATGAGGTGTTTCACGTCTCACGTTTTATCTTGGCAGCTAGGACTCGATCCTTACCTGTATTATTTTACCTATGTTTTTCGGTATGCTGAAGAACAATTATCTTTTGAGCCATTATAGTAGTCAGGCACTGTGCCACCTGAGTGGTTTACATAGCTCTTTAAAAAAAAAAAAAATTCAAAGATATACAAAAGTAGGGAGAATGATGAATAAACTCTCATATACCCATCACCCATACTGAACAAGTTTATTACTTTATTCAACTCTCAGCTCCGTTCTCTGAGGTATTACTAATCCACTTGAGAGATGGGAAACAGGCTCAGAACTCATCTAGGTAGCCCAAGTCACCCGGAGAGCAAGTGGCGGGGCCCAGATTCATGGGCCCCAACTCCGAAGCCCGCGCTCTTCAGGGCTGTTCTGCCTCCAGCTTGAGGCACTCGGTCCTTCCGCGTCTTGGTGCGCACGTCAATCTTCTCTTCTGCCATCTAGCGGGAAACTGCAAAGGGAACGTGCCTTTCTTGTGACAAAGCCCTCTGTTCCCCCGCTCCCAGGTCGCCTAGGGCATGGAGCTGGAGAGCTATGAACAGCCCGTGGTTCTGAGAGAAGACAACCGCCGCCGGCGCCGGAGGATGAAGCCGCGCAGCGCCGCGGCCAGCCTGTCCTCCATGGAGCTCATCCCCATCGAGTTCGTGCTGCCCACCAGCCAGCGCAACAGCAAGACCCCCGAAACGGCGCTGCTGCACGTGGCGGGCCACGGCAACGTGGAGCAGATGAGGACGCAGGTGTGGCTGCGTGCGCTGGAGACCAGTGTAGCCGCCGACTTCTACCAGCGGCTCGCCCCGGACCACTTCCTCCTGCTCTACCAGAAGAAGGGGCAGTGGTACGAGATCTACGACAAGTACCAGGTGGTGCAGACCCTGGACTGCCTGCGCTACTGGAAGGTGCTGCACAGGAGCCCGGGCCAGATCCACGTGGTGCAGCGGCGCGCGCCCTCCGAGGAGACGCTGGCCTTCCAGCGACAGCTCACGGCCCTGATCGGCTACGACGTCACCGACGTCAGCAACGTGCACGACGACGAGCTCGAGTTCACGCGCCGCCGCCTCGTCACCCCGCGCATGGCCGAGGTGGCCGGCCGCGACCCCCAGCTCTACGCCATGCACCCCTGGGTGACTTCCAAGCCCCTGCCGGAGTACCTGCGGAAGAAGATTGCCAACAACTGCGTCTTCATCGTCATCCACCGCAGCACCACCAGCCACACCATCAAGGTCTCCGCCGATGACACCCCCAGCACCATCCTCCAGAGCTTCTTCACCAAGATGGCCAAGAAGAAGTCTCTGATGGATATCCCCGAAAGCCAAAACGAACGGGACTTCGTGCTGCGCGTCTGTGGCAGGGATGAGTACCTGGTGGGTGAGACACCCATCAGAAACTTCCAGTGGGTGCGGCACTGCCTCAAGAATGGAGAAGAGATTCACCTGGTGCTTGACACTGCTCCAGACCCTGCCCTGGACGAGGTGAGGAAAGAGGAGTGGCCGCTGGTGGATGACTGCACGGGAGTCACCGGCTACCACGAGCAGCTGACCATCCACGGCAAGGACCATGAGAGTGTGTTCACCGTGTCCCTGTGGGACTGTGACCGGAAGTTCAGGGTCAAGATCAGGGGCATTGATATCCCCGTCCTGCCCCGAAACACTGACCTCACTGTTTTTGTAGAGGCAAACATCCAGCACGGGCAGCAAGTCCTTTGCCAAAGGAGAACCAGCCCCAAACCCTTCACAGAGGAGGTGCTCTGGAACGTGTGGCTTGAGTTCGGTATCAAAATCAAAGACTTGCCTAAAGGGGCTCTGCTGAACCTCCAGATCTACTGCGGCAAAGCCCCAGCACTGTCCGGCAAGGCCTCTGCAGAGACTCCCAGTTCAGAGTCCAGAGGCAAAGCTCAGCTTCTCTATTATGTCAACCTGCTGCTGATTGACCACCGGTTCCTCTTGCGCCACGGGGAATACGTGCTGCACATGTGGCAGATATCCGCGAAGGGCGAAGACCAAGGGAGCTTCAATGCTGACAAACTCACATCTGCAACCAACCCAGACAAGGAAAACTCAATGTCCATCTCCATTCTTCTGGACAACTACTGCCACCCGATAGCCCTGCCTAAGCATCAGTCCACCCCTGACCCTGAAGGGGACCGGGTTCGAGCTGAAATGCCCAACCAGCTTCGCAAACAACTGGAGGCAATCATAGCCACTGATCCACTTAACCCTCTCACAGCAGAGGACAAAGAATTGCTCTGGCATTTTAGATATGAAAGCCTTAAGCATCCAAAAGCATATCCTAAGCTATTGAGCTCAGTGAAATGGGGACAGCAAGAGATTGTGGCCAAAACATACCAATTGTTAGCCAGAAGGGAGGTCTGGGATCAAAGTGCTTTGGACGTTGGGTTGACAATGCAACTCCTGGACTGCAACTTTTCAGATGAAAATGTAAGAGCCATTGCAGTTCAGAAGCTGGAGAGCTTGGAGGACGATGATGTTCTGCATTACCTTCTACAGCTGGTCCAGGTAGGTGATGTTGGTGTTATCAACAGAATCCTCCTCTCCAGGAATTTATTTGCACGTGTACAGGCATCCCATTCAGTTGTCATCAGGTGACCTTTGTGCAGAGCTTCATGATCAATCAAAGTAAATCTGATGAAGCCACCTTAAAAAGTAGTAAACTGTTCCATTGACATGTTTACTGGCTTTGAGGCTTTGCTGAGAAGCATTTTAAAGACATTTGTATTTTTGCTTTTTAGGAGAATTGGCCCTGTGGGAATACTTTGTTCTCATTTACTATGTTAATGATAGATATTAGTGATTATGTTAATAATAGACTTATTTTAGGCTTCCTTATACCAAGGCTCCAAGTGATTTACATGCTTTTCATGTATTACCTCATTTAACTCTCCTAGCAATTAGGACGAAAGTAAATTAGCATTTGCATTTTATTCATAAGAAAACCGAAGCACAAAGAGGCTAAGCGATGTGCCCAATACTTTGAAAGAAGTAAACCAGACATCAAACCTAGGAGGTCTGCTCCAGGCCCTGCTCTTTCCACTGCATCCCAGTATCCTGCATCAATTTGGTGTCAGGATAGTGTGAGCCAGAGAAAAAGTCTTACCCTCTGCGCATGCTTATTACAATTCATAAAATAACATCTCACATCTGGGTAGAATTTTGACAGGTCCTCTCCTTAGACAGGAACAGGACTGTATTTCTGCTCCACTTCTCATGACATTCCCTGGGGTCCCAAGAGGCTAAGTAATTTGCCTAAGGTTTTGCTGATTTGCAGGAAGTTAAAGAAAGGAGGAACAATTCCCCTGCTCACTATAGCAGTTCTCAAATTATATTGTACTGCTTGACAAGGAAAAGGAAGTAAAGGAATTGGAATAGAAGTGCTATTTTAGAGCACAGACCTGCTCATTAATTCAACAATAAGTACTGAAAAGACTGCCATTAAATGAGTATACACACAAACAAATATTTAATAACAAATTGTGACAAATGCTTTGGGGGAAAACTACAGAGTATCATGAGAAAACAGGAGTCCAGGAGACACTAAATTTAGATTGACAGCACCAGGGAGAGTTCTGAGTAGGTGATGTTTGTCCTGAGATCTTTAGGATTAGTCCGTCTAAATTTTAGACTAAACTGTCTAATCACTATCTGTATTTATAAGAAGTCGCTGGAGTTTTCTGATAAGCATTTTGGGTTTTGTAAACTTTAACTCCTAATTTTCACCTTCCCATTAGTCAGATACTTGAAACATTACATTTGGCCTTTGTTTTCATCTATTAAATATATCCAATTTTTTTTCTACCCAGTAGTTCAGATACTAGCATAGCACTAAAGAATTTTAGAGTAATTAAGGGATCTTCAATTTTCTAGCTCTCCATAACAAAAACAACATAGAACAAATTTGCTCCAGCTCTGTTCCAAGTCCCAAAGCTACCAGGAATTGTTTTTCATTATCAGTTTCATAAGTAAACTTTGCAGAATTGTAAAAGGAATAGTGTTCTTCTTGGAAATGTTTTTAAATGAAAGAGGCTAATAAATAATATTAACATTGAATTTGTGGTCTTAAATTTGAAGAAGAGTAGTCATTTATAAAACTATTTGAGACATTTTCAGATATGGCCAAATGACTCATCCCTGATTAAAATGGTCTCCTAGTTGAGATCTGCATTGTATTTACGGAAATGAAACACAACTAAGGTCAGAAAGAGTCACGTTCAGGTTAGAAACTTAAAACATTTCTGAAGTGAGTGCTGGTGACTAAATAACCACATTCTCAGAATTAAGGCCCTGGATGCAGCTAAAATGATACTTTGACCACACCCATGAAAGCATTTTTGAAAGCATTGGTATAATTGAAACATTATGAAGTCAGTATTGATCATTTCCAACCTGAAAAGGCAGAGTAAGAATTGTAAATCATACCAAGAAGCCCCCAGGCCATAAAATATAAACTAGAAAGGGAATTTCTCCCATTCCTTGGGAAAAAAGGATAGACCAGTTCTATTTATAAAGGGAATACTGTACTCTGAGATGCTTAATTTTGAGCCTCTCTTCAATGTTTACACATGTCATCTACCCTTCAAATTTTATAATGCATTTATAATAATCTAACAGTACTTATTATTCGTGCTGCTTTTAAAATTATGAACTATTTCAAACTTATAGAAAAGTGTAGAGAATAATGTAACACATATCCATGCATTCACCAAGATTTAATTATGTTTTTCATTTTATTGGTTCTTTTTCTTCAGTAATAGAGCTATCACCTAAGTCAGTATTCTTTACATTCACCAAATGATACAAAAACTACTAAGCACTAAAAATGAAAATCAAGTTTTTCCTGAGAAAGCAAATAAAATCAGGGATTTTCAGACAAAAAGCTCTGTATACACTGCCACGTAGCAGCAGGTAGTGGTTGCTCTGTGTGGATTGATCTAGGTCTGCTGCTTACTTGCAGTAAGAACCTGTGTGGCAGTTTAGTGAGATACCAAATAGGTAGACACAGGGTTTTTAGGATCATCACATTTAACAAATATTTTTCTCCTTACAAGTACTAGATCTCCACCTTCCATTCTTTCTAACAACCTCTCTCACCTTCCACTATAGATTTGTTATAGCCATCTCCCTCTTTCCCCTCTATCCTTCTAATAAAGTGAGTAGGTCCTTTATTGGAGAAAATGCCTTCATCTCTTCACCTGTGAAGTTATGAAAAACCCATGACTGTGAGTTGAGAGTTCTGGCATCTAACCTAGTGCTGTTATCGGCTGCTCCATGATTGTATGAAAGTGGTTCACTATGGTCCTAAGTATCCTCTAAAAGAAAGGACTGAACTTAAGTGCCTAGCCATAAAGACCCACTAAAGCAGAGCAGCAGTTTTTCCTCTATTTCCTTTTCCCTGATTCACCAACATACAATGCAAGCCTACAGATGCCAATGTGTTCTTCCTTTAGGCTGTGAAGTTTGAACCGTACCATGACAGTGCCCTTGCCAGATTTCTGCTGAAGCGTGGTTTAAGAGTAAGTATGTCCACTTTGATAACAGCGTGACATTTTAAGTCAAGCAAGAACTGATTGATAGACCTAAAGCATTAGTCATAATCACTTCCACCTCTTGTACTGCCCTCAGAACAAAAGAATTGGTCACTTCTTGTTTTGGTTCTTGAGAAGTGAGATAGCCCAGTCCAGACACTATCAGCAGAGGTTCGCTGTGATCCTGGAAGCCTATCTGAGGGGCTGTGGCAGAGCAATGCTGCATGACTTTACCCAACAAGTCCAAGTCATCGAGTTGTTACAGAAAGTCACCATTGATATTAAGTCACTCTCTGCTGAAAAATATGACGTCAGTTCCCAAGGTACAGTGGCTGTATTTTCTTGGTTCTCTTTCCAAATGCCTTCATCTTCAAATGCCATTGACCCTATGATTCTTCCTCTTTCTGGAAGCCAAGTTGTATCTTCCTAAAGGCAGCCAAGAACATATTTTTTAGTCTTCTATCTGCGTGGAGTAAAATTTAAAGTTCTCCTTTTACAAGTTAATAATTTCTAAATTTATATATTTATATATTCTTAATGATTAAGTTATAATAGATATTAAACTCTTTGAAAAATTAAAAAGCATTATGCAGATGTAAGGTGTATTATTTACAAACAGCTGCACACACACACACACACAAAGATTACTTATTTACAAATCTTTACCTTTTTCTCCCAATCTTTGAACATGCGCATATAGTTTTTAAGTTTTCAGTCTTCCAAAGTAATGAATTACTAAGAGGCTATTTTAGATTTTTTGCATTTCTTTAGATGGCTTATCTCAGAGTTATACATATATATACACACACACACACATATATATATACACATATATACATGTTATCTTGATACACACACACACACACACACACACACACCGCCTCCTCTCTGAAGCCATTTCCAGTATCTTTCTATCTCTACCCTAAGAAATCCTGTCCCTGCCCTAGGAAAATTAATCACTCCCTCTCTGTATTCCCATAGGTTTTGATTGACACTACATTAAGTTATTGTCATTAACATATCTTTCTAGTCTTGCAAACTGTATGAACTGTGAAGGTAGGGGAGGTCTCATTCATTTTTATATACCTATACCTAGCACTATGGCTCATAATGAACACTTACTAATGTCCTCAGCCAATGTTTTAAACTTCTGAATAATTTAAATTTCTACTTTTTTCCTTTGATTCTTTTCCAATATAGCAATAATGCTCTCTCCCCAAAACGATAATGGTAATAATAACATTACTTTTATTTTTATTATAAGAAAGAGAAACATTTGTACTGGCCTCCATTCTGTTTTCTAAAGAATAAATTTTCAATGTATGTATCTGCCTTTATAATTTTGAGGCTGTCACATCTTCTTTACACAATCTAACTTCCTCTTTTGTAAAGAATTTATAGAACCCTAACTGAATTCCACTTCATACTGTCTTCAAATGTCTGTTCCCCAAATAAAATGGCAGATTAAAGTTTCACAAGCTGCAAAGAAAACTACAGTATTAATTTATTAGCATTACTCTCAAAATATCCTTCTCTACTTGATTGTATTGGCATCTGTGTGTTATCCCATGTATATTCACATATTTCCACTCCCTGTTGTAGCATGTGTACATGGTTACATTCCTCACAGTAAGCCTGACTTATCTTGCTACCTCAGATGGTTAGTTCCTCAAAGGCAGGGCCCTACCCCCCTTTTTTTTTCTGCTCCACACCAGACCAAATATGTAGAATGCTGTGATTAAATATGGCCTTAGGAAATGTTTTAGATAATATTGGTAATTACTTGAACTCAAATAACTCATGTGTACTTTTGACAATTACAGTTATTTCACAACTTAAGCAAAAGCTTGAAAACCTGCAGAATTCTAATCTCCCAAAAAGCTTTAGAGTTCCATATGATCCTGGACTAAGAGCAGGAGCACTAGTGGTAGGTATCACTTGAATGTCTCTTCGTGGTCTTTATGTCTTAAAAATGTCTAGCATGCTTTCCAGGGCCCAGTACGTAAAGGTTAATGTTGATAGAGAGACAGGGAAGCTGGAGAGACCCTGGATAGGCTTCTGCCAAGCCCTTCTCCAACCATTAGCTATTGAAAGCCTCAACACCAGGTAATTTCCTTTCCATTTTTTTTCAAATCAGCTGATTGAGGTATCCTTTATATAAAATAAGATTTGTCCATTTTAGGTATACAATTCAATGAGTTTTGACAAATGCACGCAATCACATAACAACTACCACAATCAAGATATAGAGAATTTCCATAGAGATGTTATAGAAAAAGTTCTTTCATGTCCCTTTGCAGTTAGTCCTTTTCCTCCTCCCACTCCCCACCCTAAGCAACAGGTGTGCTTTCTATCATATAATTTTGCCTTTTCTAGAATTTTATTAAGTGGAATCATGCAGTATATAGTTTTGTATCTGGATTCTTTTACTTTGCCTTATGCTTTTAAGATTCTGTCATGTTATTGTGTATATCAGTAATTTGACCCTTTTTATGACTGAGTAGTAGTCCCTTGTATGGATATTCCACAGTTTGTTTTCCATTCTTTTTTCTTTTCTTTTTTTTTTTGAGTAAATATTTAACAGCAGGGTAGTTGGGTCAGATGGTGAATGTATAATTTTATAAGATACTAGCAAACTTTTTACAAAGTAACTGTACCATTTAAATTTTCACCAGCAATGTACGTGAGTTCCAGTAGTTCTGTTCCCTAGCCAACACTTGTTACTATCAGTCTTTTTAGCCTTAGCCATTCAAATGGGTGTGGAGTGTTATCTCACTGTTGTTTTCTTTGCATTCAGCTAATGATGTTGAGCATCTTTTCATGTGTTTGTTGTCCATTAGTGTAGCTTCTTTTGAAAAGTTTCTATTCAAATCTTTCACTCATTTTTTAAGGTGGGTTGCCTTCTTATTTCTATATTTAAGGGTTCTTTATATAAACTGGATACAAATTCTTTATCAGGTATACATTTTACAAATATTTTCTCTCAGTCCCTGGCTTGCCTTTTTATTTTCTCAGAAGTGTCAAAGTTTCAAAGAGCAGAAGGTTTAAATTTTTTTTTTTTTTTGTCTTTTTTCGTGACCAGTAAGGGGATCACAACCCTTGGTGTGGTGTCGCCCGCCCCGCACTCAGCCAGTGAGCGCACCGGCCATTCCTATATAGGATCCGAACCCGTGGCAGGAGCGTCGCTGCGCTCCCAGCGCTGCACTCTCCCGAGTGCACCACGGGGTCAGCCCAGAAGGTTTAAATTTTGATTAAGTCTAATTTAACACTTTTTCTTTTATGGTTTGTGCTTTTAGTGTCCTATTTAAGAAATCTTTGCCCAATCCACTGGTCCTCAACTTGGGGTGATTCCTCCCCACCTCACCCCCAGGATAATTTGGTAATGTCTAGAGACATTTTTTTATTGTTACAGCTGGAAGAATGTTACTGGCATCTAGCGGGTAGAGGCTGGGAATGCTGCTAAATATCCTACAGTGTACAAGATAGTCCCCCCCCCCAACAACAAATACAGCCCAAAATGTCAGCAGTGCCAACATTAAGACATCCTTGCCTAACTCAATGTGACAAATATTTTTTGCTGGAAGTTTTATGGTTTTAACTCTAACATTTAAGTCAATGATTCATTTTGAATTAATTTTCATATATGTTGTGAGGTAAAGGACAGAGTTCATTTTTTATGTGAATATCCAACTTTTCTAGCACCATTTGTTGAAAAGACAAATCCTTTTTCTGTTGAACTTCCCTGGCTCCTTTGTCAAATATGAACTGACCATACATATGTAGGTCTACATCGAGATTCTCTGTTCTGTTCCATTGATCTACATGTCTGTTCTTACATCAATACCACACAGTCTTGATGACGTTCAAATAACAAACCACTTCATGTATGTGTAAGAATCTTATAAACAGTGTACTTTTATACCTCATCCTTTCCCCCTCATGTTTTGTATTATTTTATTTTATTTTTTAAATTTTTGGTGGCTGGCCAGTACAGGGATCTGAACCCATGACCTTGGTTTCACAAGCACTACAGTCTCCCAAGTGAGTTAACCAGTCAGCCCCTTTGTACTATTTTTGTTATGCTTTTAATTTCTACTGTGTTATAAACCCCATAATATGTTACTATTATTTTTTGCTGTAAACAGTTAAAAGTACATTTTACAGACTTGAACTTAATAGATTAAATAATTTTTTAAATACCCACATATTTACCATTTTTGGTACTCTTCACTGTTTTGTATAGGTCCAGATTTCCATCTGGCCTCATTTTCCTTCAGTCTTTAACATTTTTTATATCTCAAGTCTGCTGGCATTAAATTCTTTCAGCCTTTGGTCTCCTGAACAACTCCTTATTTTGCCTTCATTTTTGAAAAATATTTTTGCTGATTATAGAATTTTATATTGAGGGGTTTTTTTCCCTTTCAGTAGCTTTTTCTTCTGGTTTGCATATTTTCTGAAGATAAGTCTCTGTCATTCTTATCTTTGATTCTCTGTATAATACATCTTCTTTTCCCAGGCTGCTTTTAAGATTTTCTTTTATCACTGGTTTTCAGCAACTTGATTATGATGTGATTTGGTATGGTTTCCTTTATGTTTAGTCTTTTAGGGTGTATTGAGCTTCTTAGATTTGTGGGTTTATAGTCTACAGATTTGGAAATTTTTCAGCCAATATTTTTTCTTTCCAATATTTTTTCTTTTTTCTCTTTCCTCTCCTCTCCTTCAAAGACTTTGATTACAGTATTTCAGACAGCTAGACTGTAGGCTCAGTCTGGATCCCCTCTCTCTGTGCTGTAGCCTAGAACAGCCCCAGGGCAGCAAACTGAGGCAATTATAGGGCTCTCCTCATTTGCTTTTCCTCTCTCAGAGGTCACATATCTTCCCTGCTTGTTGTCCAGTGTCTGAAAAGAATTGTTTCATGTATTTTATCTAATTTTCTAGTTGTTTATGGCAGGATAGCAATTCCTGCAGTAGTTAAGCCTCATGGAAGGAAGGGAAAGCTCCTCCCTTCCATGTTTAATTTTATATACAATTACCAACAAACTGGGCCTGTAGCAAAAGCACACACTATCCACTAGCCTCCATTTACAGATTGGTAGGAATTATGATATATTAATACAGCTTCAAATTGTGTTTTTTTTTAGAGCACATCACATGTTTGATTCATGGTTAATTCACCTTTGGCAAACTCCTTAGTTTTTTTATTTTTATGTGGGTGACTGCTAAGCCACATTTCCCTTACCTTAAATTTATTTAGATTTATGGAGGTTTATTTGGGGAGGGGATGTGCTATACCTAAGTGCCAGATTTTCCATTTATTTCTGTTAAATTTTATCATGTTAGATTTGGCCTATTGCATCTGATTCTGCAGTAATAGTTTTTTAGACATTATGGTAGCATTAAAACTCTTTTCTCAAATTAAATCATAGAGGGAGGCCAAATATATAAACAGATAATAGCAAAGTTGCTCTTTATTACAGGGGAAGTGGGAGTACCAGAGTCCTGTGGGAGTGGGCATGGGGAGGGTGGGATCTGCCACTTAGGTACCTTCCTAGACTCTTAGGGTTCCTTGGAGCACAGTTTAAGAACCACCGGTTTAAGTGTTGTGAATTTGCTGTCACAGAGCATTTCTAGATTTGGTGGGAACACCTTCTCTATTTTTACCCAAACACTGAACTAGTACTTTGTCCTGATTGTTTATAGTGATGCTTTGCAAGAGAATTTGTGTCTCCACAAAGTATATTTATTACATGTAAGAAACACATGACTACTCCCTTACAGATTGAAAAATGTAAAGTGATGGCCTCCAAGAAAAAGCCCCTGTGGCTTGAGTTCAAGTGTGCTGATCCTACAGCCCTATCAAATGAAACAATTGGAATTATCTTTAAACATGGTGATGATCTGCGGCAAGACATGCTTATTTTACAGGTACGCTAATGTTTGGGAATTTTTTTAATTATCTGAAAAAAGAATTCTATATTAGATCTAAAACACACATTCTACCGATTCTATTCCCATTTTCTTCTTTTGCATGATGAACAGCGATCAAAGATTACATAATAGAGGGGTTTCACTTGGGTAATATGGCTGAGGACCATGAGATAGGCAATCTAAGGAGCATCACAGTTCTGTCCATTCTTTCAAAGATGCATATCCGACATTCCAAAGTAGGCAGATATACTTCCCTCACCTAACCTCTTTCTATACACCCCATTCCACGCTTGGCAACATAGAATATAGCCGTGTTTACCCCACCCCCACTTTATTCCTGTTCGTAGACATATCTGCACACCCATAGGCACCCTCCTTAGATACATCTCCTCTGATACACATATGCAAACTCAAGTGTATGATTTGATGGGAAGAAGAGAGAAAATGAACAGGTGGGTGATTGGAGGAATGATACGCACAAGATTGAGCAGATTATTAAGGCAGAAGGTGAATGGCGAAGGTATCAGTGCTAATCATGTTCACATATTCTTACATTTCTGGATAAACTTTAGCTTCACAAATCTGCAAAGTAATATTCTCCAGATTCTAGCTGTTCAACATTGTAGAGGTAACAATTTCCAATACTTAATATGGTTTATTTAAAATAGACAAACCACATTAGAGTGGTAAATATGTGTAAGGTAGTTAGTTATTGTGGTAAAATATACACCACGAGAGTGGAGCATTTTGAACAGATATGTGATAAAACATAGCTAAAACCAATCCCAAAAGAAATCCATTTATCCTCTTCCCCAAGGTACATTTCAGGGATTGAAATTAACATGCTCAGTACCAGGTTGGTCAATAAAAGTGCACTTGTTACTTATATATTTTACATTTACTTATATATTTTTTGTTACCAAATAAGATTGCTGTACTTTTTTAAGAGAGAAGGAAAATACACTAAATAAATATATATTTATAATAGAAACGTTTCTGTATTTTGATGCCCAGATTCTACGAATCATGGAATCCATTTGGGAGACAGAATCTTTGGATCTGTGCCTCCTGCCATATGGTTGCATTTCAACTGGGGACAAAATCGGTATGTGGTTACCTCAGGGAAGGAGCATACCACTCAGCTAGTTGTAAAAGATCATAATTCCTTCAGTGTAGGTGTTTAATAACTGAAAAATCACAATCATAATCCATATAAAAAGGAAGAAATTGTTCCTAGGCTGGTGAATATGACTCAATTTTTAATATGGATATGTTGAAAATACATGAATGCAGGGTTCAAATCCTGTGACCATACATGGAAATTATCTTAGTAAGAACTGGTTCCCTCCTCTTTACTTTTCTACCTCTAAACCTTAGCTCTTTTCATTACACATTAAACTTTTCTCTCACAAATAACATTTAAAAATAGACAGAAAGATCTGTCATTTATTTCAATATTCCAGAATTCACATTATCAAAGCTATTACTCTACTTTTTGGTACTTTTATAGACATGACATTTTAAGTCCAATCACACATATTTTTATTTAACTTTCTGATTTGAGAACTGTATGAAACTGCTTACATTTGACCCTGTGATTTAAAAATGGAAAAGGTACAGATTGCCAAGTGAGGAAGGACACTCAGCACATAAATGCTTTTATTTATTACTGTTCAAAACCAACTCTTTCCTCTTTTTATTGAGGGATATCGAAAGCATCTCCCACACGACTTCCATATCCTTCTCCTTTTCTTTCTCTTCCCCCTAAATAAACCAACAACACAGACCTGGAAAATAGCCCTCTAGTTTAAAAAATATAGAGACAGAGCCATTCCTCCTGTAGGCCAGGCAGTGGGCTCCAGTCCCCATCAAACTCTGTGCATCCTCATGTAGGAATGATTGAGATCGTGAAAGATGCTACGACAATTGCCAAAATTCAGCAAAGCACGGTGGGCAACACGGGTGCATTTAAAGATGAAGTCCTGAATCACTGGCTCAAAGAAAAATGCCCTATTGAAGAAAAGGTGAGCTTATGCTTTTCCCCCTCTAAAGGTTCCTTACAAGCTGTCATTTATATAGCAATAGTGGTTTCAGGTTTTCAAAGGATCCCCCAGCATCTTGTCTTCTGACATACTGAAGGCCTTTTCTCATGAGGTAATGGGGGTTTTAAGTGCTTTCCCACAGTGACATAGCATATGTGTAAAACAGAGGCACTCAGCTGAGGACTCCGTGAGCATTTGCTTCTCCTTTGATTACTAGGCATGCTTTGAATAAAATTTGGTTCTATAAAATAATCTGTGAGCACTATTTATGGCTGTCTATTTTTGTTGTTCAGCAGAAAGACGCAGTTACCATGATAAATTTTTTCCGACCTGAGAAATACCACGAATCTAATAGAGTAATTTATAATTTACATTGCACTCTACTCTAAATGGTAAATTATGGATGCTGAAAATGTCAGCTCCACCATGACTCTGAAGTGCATGTGCTAGATCCTTCACAAGCTGTATGGTTAGGCTGTTTGGCTGCCGTTTAAAGTTCTGCTCTACAAGATTAGCACTTCTCACTTGCATGGATAGCAGCCTTTAGGACAGAAGTATAATTAGTTGCACTTATTATTCTGCTATACACGTGGATTTGTGAACCCCTGCATACTCTAAGTGGTCACAAGCAAAACATATGTTTACAATGAGGAGATATTACTGTGGGTTCCATATAGCTGTTGGCAAGTGAGGCATGGAGAGGAAGCAAACCCTTTGATTCAGTTACTGTTGCCCTTTGACTCCTGTTTCCTCCTTGTGCTAACACTAATGAAATCGGGCACAACCAAGTTGCTCTCTGAAAATGGTTCTCAGACAGTATCTTTTTGGAAATAATTTGTAAGAGATTCATGCTATTCTTTGTAGTTCGCAGACAACTAATATTCAGATGCATTTTCATTAGTTTCAGGCAGCAGTGGAGAGATTTGTTTATTCCTGTGCAGGCTACTGTGTGGCAACCTTTGTTCTTGGAATAGGCGACAGACACAACGACAACATCATGATCACAGAGACAGGTGAGTTTATTTAATTGCAGAATAATTTTTATTGTGGTAAAATATACATAACATAAAATTTACCATTTTAGCCATTTTTAAGTGTACAGTTCAGTGGCATTAAGTACATTCCCATTGTTGTGCAACCATCACCACCATCCATCTCTAGAACTTTTTCATCTTCCTCACCTGGTACTTTGTACATTAACTCCCCATTCCCACTTCCTTCCAGAACAGAGTAATTTTTAAATTGAGTTCAAGGCTGGAGCAAATATTTAGAAGTCATTATTGTGTAGGGACATTGATGCTACTGAGATCACCCTAGAGAGACCACACACCTTGAGGATCAAGAAGCGAGTAAGAGAAGAGGCAGCAAATGAGACTTAGGAAGAAAAGGTTAGAGAGATAGCTGGAAAAATAAGATAGGGTCACATCCCAGACGTTGCTGAGGGTGAGAGATATCAATAGTGTCAGATGTTGCAGGGAAGCCACAAAAAGAAGTCATAGATGCCCTTAAACCTGAAATGCTCCACCTCCCTCACTCACCCCTCTTCACTGGTCCACTGTCCATTTGGACAATGGTCAGTAATGGCCACCACACCATGAGATTTTTCTCTATGAAATTTGGACCAATTTAAGAGTAAAGTGTGGAAAAAGCATCAACTTGCTGTGCGAATTAAAAGAGATAATGCATTTATAGACTATAGAAAATGATAAAGGGCTAAACAAATGAGAGATGATGGTGATTGTGGTGGTGATGGTAGTAGTGGCAGAAATTAACCTAAAGGACATTCAAATGACTTATTTCTATCATACTATTCACAAGTAAATGTGAACGCCCTTCACCCAAGCAGAGTGAAACGTCAGTCTGTCCCGAGTTATATAAAGACCATAAGAGAGTCTTAGGCATAATGACAGCATATTGGCCAAAGAGTTTGATTTATGTTTCTATGAATAATTTTGAGACCCAGATTTTTTATTGGCATTTGGCTGTCATCTAAAGAACACCGGAAGGATATCAATAACCTACTTGATTCCAAGAATGCTTTGTGGCTACTGCTTTCACACACCTGCTAAGAAGAAAAATATCACAACCTAATAAAACAATGTAAAAATACGCTCTCTCCATCATGATAGCTCATTTTCAGGCAACTTAAAGAATATTCATGAAACAAAGTGTTATTACAAGCGCTTATGCCAGTGTAATGATGTCAGATATCTTCTTCTCTCAAGGAAACCTATTCCATATTGACTTTGGGCACATTCTTGGGAATTACAAAAGTTTTCTGGGCATTAATAAGGAGAGAGTGCCATTCGTGCTAACCCCAGACTTCCTGTTTGTGATGGGAACTTCTGGAAAGAAGACAAGCTCACATTTCAGGAAATTTCAGGTAAGTCATCTCCCTCTGCATCACCTACTGAGAACACGAACCAAGTAGGTGGCCTGTGGAGCGCACCACAGCCCTCACCCCTGTCTCCACTTGGTGGCTCGGCCAACCCTACCTCCTCCCTGTCACCTCTACTCCTTTTCCAAGTGCACAATGACGTTTCTCAGTAATCCACCTAAAACCAACCAAGTAAAAATATTCCATAAGCAGTGGGACAGGCAAATATAGAACACCAGGATGACGTGGTACTGAAGAGAGAGCTTTAAGGAAGGGCAACAGGTGAGCAGTTTAGCCATCAGATATTTATCTGTTCAAGACATTTGTAGAAGAACTAAATTTTACAGATATTTTTCAGGACTCTCAAACGATTGTGAGCTTCTCTTAATGTTTGCTACAGGTGTGTATTTATCATGTTACTAACACAGGGAATTCGTGTTGTTCCACTCGATCCTGTCTCATTTTTATAAAGGACAGTCTCTTCTCTCATTTGAAATCTTGCCAGCTTGGCCACAGTTCCTACAAAGAGCTCTGGTTTGTCCTGCTTACCTGTAGACAGTCTCCTACATGAATCACCCATCTCCCTGGGAGTGTTCAGATTCTACTTACCTCTTATTCCTTCCTGATCCATATCCAGTTTTGCCTATCAAATGTTTCAAAGACCCAATGAGAAAATTTTACACTTGCAAATTTAATAACTGTTAATGAACACACTTCAGAAAAGTTGTACCTTCTATTATAATACATACAACTATTTTCTAGCAATACAAACCCAAAACACATAGAGATAGGAGTAATTACTTCATATGTACATTTGCCTTGGGGTCCCTTTAAATAGCCACCTTCCTTAATGTACCTTAAATAAGGTTTGATTTGCACTCCACATCGCAGAAACAAGTCTTCTTCCTGAGTCTCTTCTTGTGTGCAGTGTTACCCTTGGGAGATGACATGGGCCTTGAAGTTCGGTGGAAGAGGAACTAGGATGTATTATTTTGAAACCTGTCTGTTCCTGTTTATTCTCCTGGCTGACTTTTGATTTGGTGATTACAAGATTTACCCTCCCACGTTTCCAGTGGTGTTGTCAGAGAAATTGAGATCTTTGGGGCCAGATGGTCTTAGGATTTTTAGTGTCTGTTTTTCTGCATAAACTCAGTTAGAGGTGTTAGACTATTTCCAGGGACTTGACACATTTCAGTCCTGTTTTTCTTTAAAGTTAAAAACCACATATTTTGACAACTTCCTGAAAGAGAAAAATGGTTCCAAAAAAAAAAAAAAAAAACCTGGAAGAATTTCACCAATTTAAAAGGGAAAAGCACTCAGTTCTCCTCTCCTGGAATTAGTGTTAATCTAACTAGCTTCAGACAAACGCAGCAGCAATGAACTGTAATTTAAAGAATCAAACACAAGGCATTTGGCCTCACTCACAGGCTGTCCTTGTTTCTGTGTGTATGTCCTCCTTTTTGCCGGTGACTCTCCCTAGAACGACTGCTCACCTGTCCTGTTGCCGATGACATTTCCATAGGCCCCCATAGTGTCCATGATACCCGGTAAATTCCAAACAGTGCTTTCTTTAGCTTTCTTTGTTGTTGTTGTTATTGTTATTGTTTTTTTTTTAAGTTTCAAAATATTCTTTTTTTTTTTTTTTCCTTTTTGTCTTTTTTCGTGTCCGGCAATGGATCGCAACCCTCAGTGTCGCGCCCGTACCGGACCGGGACCGGCAACGGGATCGCAGCCCTCGTTGTTGCACCCGCACCTCGCTCAGCCGGTGAGCGGGAACCAGTCTGTATGTGGGATCCGAACCCTCGGCGGGAGCGCTGCCGCACTCCCAAGCGGCGCACTGTAGCAGTGCGCCACCGGGCCGGCCCCAAAATATTCTTAATGAAGAGATTTGGGGGATGGGGAGGACAAGGAGGGGTTTCTTCCCCCTGCAAGCAGCTTCCACCCAAAGCAACAAATCTTTGCCGTGAACCTTTGAAGCCTATCTTCTCAGCCTGGGAGCCTCTCTCCATCCTTTATGACCAAAGCTTGTTTCTCAAGCCATTAAAACCTCTTTAACTAAAACGACATCTAGGTATTGTGCACCACTAAAAACACACCTTCGTTAATCTTGTTATATTTGTATATATCTATGTTTTGGAGTGCCGGCATACATTTTAAGTGCCTGACAATAGGAGGGTACTTCGAAAAGTTCATGTAAAAATAGAATTAAAATATAAGACGAATCTTTCCATGAACTTTTTGGAGTACCCTTGTATATGCACATTGAGCCTAAATACAGATACAGCAGAGCATGGTAGTTGAAGGGATAGGCTTTGGAATTTGAATCCTGGCCCTGCTACTTAAGCACTATGTATATGATGAAAATTATTTATCTTTTCAGAATCTCGGTGTCTTCATCTGTGAAGTAGGAATAGTAAGACATAACTCGTGGTTTTTCTGGGGATTATTTCAATGAAACATGCAGAATGCTTAGCCCAGTGCCTAGACCACAGCAATAACTCAATAAACATTAGCCCCCATCGTTATACGCATCACAGTGGGTCTTCAAACTTTGAAAACTTTTAAGTTAAGAAACCATTTTTGAAATGAGCTCTCGGGCAATATATAAACATGACAAAGTAGCATGTTCCGGTTAAAGAGAGAGCGGAGACCCCACCCTACCTGTTCGGCTCCCCTATCCCTGCACCCCCACCTTCTGCTGTTTTTCCCACAGAAAAAGAACACCACAGTATCAAATGATACATGTGCAGAATTTGCAAGGTTTCCAGCTTGACAAAGATGGGCAGCAAGTTTCTTCATCGTTTGACTCTGACCTTGCAACAATTTTTTTTTTAATATACTGCTAAGCCTTCCAGGAAGATTTTCTGTTTCTTAATTTTATGTTTCCTTTTTGAATTGAAGTTCTTCAAAATCAGGGACCACATCTCTAAACTCTCTAAATAATGCCTCAGAATCTTGTATACTAAAGCTGCCATTTTTAGGCAAGCTGGGAAGTGTTGTATACATTTGCATTTTGAATTAAAGACATCTTCATTTCCAGTGAACTGCTAATTTTGAATTGATAAGGTTAATTAACACCTGCTGCATATTTGAATAACCTGTTAATAAGGGTAGAGAAAAGTTGAGCTGCTTTTTGTTAAGGGGGAGGTGAGCCTTGTCCACAAAGAATTAAAACATACCTAGCTAGTGGCCTGAGGATGGAAGTAAGGGGAACTGAAAAAGTCTCTACTCTGTCCCACCTCTCTCCTTTCCAGCGTAGTTAGCTAGTTCAGCCTAGGACCATATTTATAAATTATTTATAGAATAGGGGAGAGTTCAGGAACAAGCTGTAATTAGATAGACAGGAAACCAAGGCCCACCATTTGAACCCAAGAACACTGGAGCAGCATCATCCACACAGGGAGCTCAACAGATGAGGATGATGAGTTTGATAAATCAATTCTCCTTAGAAAAATCTTTTCCTTACTGAAGAGATAAAAAATGAAACAGTGTTTTTACCCACTGGTAATTTATTTTACGCCTATTTATTTTAAATTTCAGTGAACAGTTATAGAACATACATAACACACAAATACATCATTGGCAAGTGAGATTTGGCTTCCCATTTATTTCTATACAGGAATATGTTGGGATGTTTTTGCCATCTTTTTAATTTTATTTTTTAATTGACATGGAATAATTGTACATTTTTATGGGGTACAGAGTAATATTTCTATACATGTATACCCTGTGTGATGACCAAATCAGGCTAATTAGCATATCCATCACCACAAACATTTGTCATTTCTTTGTGATGAGAACATTTGCACTCCTTTTTTCTAGCCATTTGAAAATATATAATAAATTACTGTTAATTATAGACACCTAGCACTACTATAGAATACTAAAACTTATTTTTCATGTCTAGCTGTAAGCTTGTATCCAGTAACCTACCTCTCCCTATCCCCTCTCCCCGCTACCTTTCCCAGCCTCTAGTAACCTCAATTCTTCGGTCTACTTCATGAGCTCACTTTTTTTTAGCTCCCACACATGAGTGAGACCATGTGGTATTTATCATTTTGTGCCTGACTTATTTCCATGTTGTTTCCAGCTCCTCCATGTTGATACAAATAACACGATTTCATTATTTTTTTATGGTTGAGTAGTATTCCATTCTATAGATATACCACATTCATTTTATCCAATGCTTTTTTACTTTATTCAAAGCAAGAGCCAGCAAAATGTTAAAAAATCAGAAGATATCAAAATCCCATTATCCTGCTTTCTAACTTCCATGTGTTGGTAATTTGTGACTTTGAATAAATTCTAAATGTCTGAGCTTGGCCTGCAAGGCCCTGAGGGATGAGGCCCCTGCACCCTCCAGCCTCACCCCAGGGTGATCCCTCCTCATTTGCTCACTCCTGTCACCATGGCTGTCCTCCACCTCTCCCACCATGCCAGCTGTCCCACTGCTCAGGCCTTCTTCCCAGAATCCCCTTCACTGCCTATTAGGTCTCAGCTTATGTGTCATTCCTCAGAGCAGTCATCTAAATCAGGTCCCCTCCTGTTATTCTTTGTCACAGCCCCCTGCCTGTTTCCCTCATTGAGTCTATCACAGCATATGACCATTTGTACTGGTTTGCTGTTTGTCTCTCCCTTTCCAGACTGCAAGCTCTGTGGAGCAAGGCCTTGTGTGTCCTGTGTCCCTCATGTGGGGCCTGAGCCACAGTCAGCACTCAATAGGTGTTTGCTGAGTGAAGAGCAGATCATGGAGGGGCACTTCCTGCATAGGGAGGAGTTGGATCAGACTGGATAACCTCTAGGGTGTCTTTCTTCCCCATTATACACTGTATTGTATGAGTTCATGAAAGTGTAACTCAGGCACAGCTTGACAAACCACCGTCACATGCAAGTTAGTAAGCCTTCAAGATGCAGGTTAAACATTAGATGAGGAACTAAACTTAATTAATGCTTTATTAAATAATAAAAATATGTGATGCATGTGGTGTCTATTCACATTTTTGTGG